TATGAGTGTAATGCCTGCATGTATGTAAGTGCACCCATGTTGTATAGTGCCCACGGAGGACAGAAGAGGGTGTGGAATCTCCTGGAACTGGAGTTATAGATGGCTGTTAGTTTCCATATGGGTGCTGGAAATGAAACCTGGATCCTCTGCAAGAGCAGTCATTGCTCTTAACTGCTGAGCCGTCTCTCCAGCCCCCCAGGAAATCAATTTTTAAAAACATAATATTAATATTTTATGTGATTATAAGTGCAACAAACATTGATTTTTGAAAATGTTAGGATAAAACAAAAACAAGCCGGGTGTGGTGGTGCATGCCTGTAGTCCCAGCACTTGGGAGGCAGAGGCAGGAGGATCTCTATGAGTTCAAGGCCAGCCTGGTCTACATAGTGAGTTCTAGGACAGCTGGGGCTACAGGGAGACCCTGTCTCAAACAAACAAAAAAAAAAACAAACAAAAAATCCCAGACAAACAAAAAAATCACTCATTGTCCCACAAAGACAAAACACAACAACAAAATGAGAGCTTTCCTTAAGATTTGGGTGGAACAGTGTTGGGTGTCCTCCATGCTCAAGTGTATATGTATGTCACATTTGCCTGCTTGTCCAAAAACTTAGGGAAGGAGCTTCAGAGCTTCTGGGAAGAGTGCACAAGCCCCTCCAACACAGCTTTTGTTTGTATGCAACTCATGTGAGAGTAAATATTCCATAACTGTGGTTCACAATGCAAGACAGAGACGTGGAGATGATGGCTACCGGCCAACAGCTCATGCACCGCTGTCTTGTAATGTTTTCTCTGCAATGCTTCTTAAAACATTTTTCATATTACATGCCCCATCTGATATCACATTAACCCAAATAAAAATGTCATTATCCATTCAGTGTGACAGGCAGCAGGCAGGGCAGAGTAGAAAACTGCAGTCATTTCAGCCAGCAGCACAGCACGTGGCCTGGGCTCCTCTTGGCTTTGTTCAAGCCTGCACTTGGATTCAGCACAAGAGGAGCTCTCTTAACACACAGGACATGCATCTAGCTTCTGAGAAGTTCTGCGTAAGTCAAACTGTATACCTCTTCTCTTCTGTTAGCATAAGGATGCTGAAGCTTGGCGTCTAAAGAGACATTCATTCAAACAGTGTTTTGTTTTTTCACGTTACTACTCCTAAAATATATCTAAAAACTGTTTGTCTCCAATATTTGATTAAAATAGGATTCACATGTACTACTAAGTTTACTAAAATAGTTGAAGGAAGCCGGGCGTAGTGGCGCATGCCTTTGATCCCAGCACTTGGGAGGCAGACGCAGGTGGATCTCTGTGAGTTCAAGGCCAGCCTGGTCTACATAGTGAGTTCCAGGACAGGACAGCTGGGACTACAGGGAGACCCTGTCTCAAAAAGACCAATAGATAAATAAATAAATAAATATAGATAGATAGATAGATAGATAGATAGATAGATAGATAGATAGATAGATT